ACAAACACAATCCCTTTTAAAACAACCTTTAAAGGAACACTTCTTAAGCCACACAAATATCATGCTGCACAGAGCTACTCAGCACTTTAGGAGATTTTTTTTTTTCTTTTACAAAATAGTGTTCTACACTTGTTAAGGATACTTACCTCGAAGAGATATCAATGGATACTAAAATCTAGTCCACTGTTATAAGCAACACATCTTATGACCCTTTTCCCCCTATTCATAAGATCGGTAATGTTCTGTAACTTAATATGTCCCAGAACTATTTTACTCTAATTATTAGAAAACTTTAAATAGCCAGCCTAAATTTATTCATAGCCAGTGTATACCAATTTGGGTTTATGACAGTGATGGCTTTTGGTTTAAATAGTTCATCTCACTTTATGATACGTGTATTTATATATTGACAGGAATTATATCCTCTTTCAGCTTTTTTTTTTTTTGCCTAAACATGAAAACATTTCTGCCTTAAAAAAAAAAAAATTAGGCTCTTTTTGATCCAGATTTTTCACATCTGTTTCAGATTTTAAATCATTTTGCTTGAACAAAACTACACAGTATCCCTGAGGAGATTTCCTCAGGACCTTATTTGATAGCATGAATACTTCCCTATCTCTGTAGAAATTACCTCTTCTGATAAAATATAGGTTCTTTGCATAATTTCATAATCACTCTTTCCATCCTGTTAACCTCTCATCTCATTCTGTTTGGATTTAAATCCCTTTGTCTGGGTAGCTGATTTACATAAGAGGCATAGTACTCCCATTGTGTATTAAATAACAAATTATAAACTTGGTTTTCCTTGTCAAAATATTTACTGATATTAACTAGAGGAGCCACCTTCCATAAAATACTGACACAGCATTCCCACTAATTTAGATGTCTTCAGAAGCCATCCAGCTGCTTTCCTGGCATTTCTCTTCATAGATCAGTGGCAATGAATGCCACCAAAAACTGTGGCAATTGTTAAATTTCCTGCAGCAGGATATTTCCTTCAAAGAATTATAGGGAATACCACACTGCCACATAATCAACATAACAAGCCCACCATTCCCATTTTATAACAATGTAGGTAACATCAGTTGCAATTATCTAGTGTTCTGCAATACCTGATTAAAACATTATTACATGTAATACATATAAAACTTTATTACATATATATGACTCAGCTCTTTATTGTAATGTTGAAAGCTCCTCTCCTTGAGGAGGTAAGCACACTACAGAATCGGCTTGTTTGCCTATGGACATAACTGTTCTATATTGTATAGATTAAAATATGGATGACAGCAGATTTTTCTACTGCTACTTTCCCATAGTTTATGCATCCATTGTTTTTTATCACATGGTTGTTTTCTGCTCAGAAAGCTAGATAGGGAGATAATCCAAAGTGTAACTTTTATGTTTAAGAAAAATATTGTTAAGACCTCTCATAAAAAATTGGGCTCAGTTAATAAGTGTGTTCCTCAGTGCCAATCTTTGCCTTCATCTCTACAATTTAGAGCAGATTCATGATCAGATGAACACTTGTTTATAGTGACCAGGAGGTGTGGATACAAAGCAGTTGATTTTTGCCTCATTGACATACAAATAGATACGGGGAAAATACAAATGCTAGCATAGAGTCATACAGTGATACATTTTTTCTTGGTTTAGTCTAAAAGTTGGAATCCATGTATTTAAATAAAAACAGGTTATATAATTTAACAACTGAAAAAATAAGGCTACTGGACATTATGGAAAGAAATTGCCATGTATGTTCTGGTGAAATTAAACTTGAAAATCAGTCTGTCTCATAACATGAAAAATGACAGGGATAAAACAAGTGACACAATATTGTTTTACTCAGTAGCTGAGAAATGATGACGTTTCCAACAAGTTGCAAGTAATCCTCACCTTAATATTTTTTGTTGTTCTCTTTAATACGTGCTTTTCCAGTCCACTGTCCTATTATCTTGATTTTAATCATTCTGTATCTTTCATGGTCCTGCAGTATGTGACCTTGATCCCTTCAAATTCACGTCAAACCATGGTGCAGGATAAAGGCCTTCATCTCTGGCACTATGCATTACCTGATTTAACCAAAAGCAGAATAACATGTATTCTCTGTTTTTTAATATAATCTTGATTATAACAGTGAATGCTATTTTGAAAAAAAAAAAAAAAAAAAAAAAAGGGAAGTTAATTATTATGAGATTTTATTTTTTTTCCTACATCATTACTGCCTCTCCTGACACTTCCAAAGGAGGGGGAAAAATAATGGGAATCAAAATATCATTCAAATCGCTGAATAGTTGTTCTGGTTTTGGAAAGCAAAAGTCATACAGCAGTCTCCTGATGAAATCTCCTCCAACAGATTTTAAAATAGTACATGCAGTATGTGCAAGTCATTACTGTTTTGATGTTACTTTTATTGAGACCATTTAATTGCGGTTAATTGTGAACACCTAGTCTCAGTGTTTGGTTGTTCTGAGCTAGTTCTCATGGGCAGCACTTCCTGTTAGGTTTTGGCAGAGAGATACCCTGGGTCATCTTCTGTGTATGGCTTGGATGCCATTGGTCTGAAGACATGAAAAGAGAGCTGCTACTTGCCACAGTCCCATCAGTTCTTTGGGAGCCAACTCTTTTCCCAAAAGAGAGGCACACCTGTAGGTAGTCTGCAGCTACTTGTCACATTGGTGCCATTAAAAATATATTTAAAAAAAATAAATTAAAAAAAGTTCTTCGGTCATTTTCTGTCTGACCCCACTGTGTTACCAATATCCTATCGGAAAGGATTCAAGACAGGACACAGTCTGCTGGAGTCTCTCACCCTATGCGCTTCACTCTTCTTCAGCCCCATGGATTTTGACCTGGCATGGATGTTAAAATGAAGGGAAATGACTTTCCTTGCCCTTTATCCTTAAAATGGCAGGTCTCGGGTAGGGGCTTTAAGGGTTGAAGTGAAAAGCAAGGGGAAAGGAGGCCCTGCTAAGCACTGTTTGGAGTGGCACCTTTCTTTCTTGTTACTGTGATTCAGCTGAGCCAACGCAGACCTGTGTTTTCCCCTTCCTTACCTCTCCTTTCAAATCAGGACTGTATCCCTGAAAGATCATTTTCATTAGCTAAAAGATAGGTGAGGGAACGAACATACCAATTAGACTCCAGATCCTGTAGCCTGGGAAAGCTCATAGAAAAGCAACAGGGATTAAATTTACAGTGTGTGGTTCGTAACAAGGTCACCATGTTCTGCACTACTTGCTAATGGAACCATATTTTACAGGGGAACTTTGCAGTAAGGTTTGTATCTGGAGGACTAAATCAAAAAATGCAGCTTTTCTCTTGATTCAGGTAGCTTGTGCTTCTCTTGACTTCCTGACTCATTTCTTGAACGGAATAGGCAGAGGGTAGAAATAAACACAAGAAGCACTTTCTGTGGGATTGTGTAAATTAAAGTCAGTTGAAACCTATGCACAACCCCCCAAAAAAATTAGCAATATGATTACAGATCTATAAAACTTAACAATGTTTCTGTAATGATGGCTGAGAGGAGAAAAATTGATTGAAAGAACTGAAATGAAATACAATCCCATCTTTCATGTTTTTAGCAAGATAATTTTTGTTCAGTGTTGACTAATACAGAATAATAGGAATAAAATATGCTGCCTCAGTCTCTGCATTATTGGCTTTACATTATTGGTGCTGACAGCTGGCTTTTAAAATGCAGTAAATACTGGGCAATGCTGTTCTGTTAAGACAAGCCACTTCATCAAGCATATTTCCAAATCACACTTTATTTTCAAAATGTGTTTAATTTATATACAGCAAAGGAGCCTACTGCAAAATTGACCTGCAACAGAGTGCCCTCTACTGCATGCATTTAGGAAAGGAAAACAAAGCAAGTTTCTTAAAAATAAAATCTTTACGGACTGAGACCAGAAGCTTTGTCACTGCCCACCAGCCGTCGAGCTAAACATAATATACATACAGGCATATATCACTATTACCTTCTTCTAAAGAGCTGGATGCCACTGGGGAATAATAGTTTAAAATAGGTATGAAATTTGCACAAATTGTTTCATGGTTTTAAGTTAAATCTGCACGTGTCCTTCCATACCAAAATGGCCTGTGTTTATACATTGGAGAGGTATTAGGGAAGTTACAAACCTGTCTTGTATTGCCCTGTTGCCACTCCTTTCTTTTTGCTGCCGGGAAGGATCTGTAACAATATGAAGTGAAAAATTCCCTCTGCTTATAGATTAGTTTTCTCAGTCCTTAATCTCTCATGCTCCTTCATTTCTCCCCTTCTTTCTATCTGCCATTAGGTCACTACTATTAAACTGAACACTCCTTTTCATTCCCATGTCCTTGATAAACCTATTTGATGTTACTGAGTTACACCTCTTGCAAATGATTAAGAAGGTATTTCTCCAGGCTTGGCTCTAAAGAGCAGAAACGGACGGGTTACAAACGTATCATGGAAGCAGTTCTACAGCAAGGCACAAATTCTCAAACAGACTTTTGAAATCTTCCCCCGATTTTAATTTTCTCAGTCTGAAATGGGCCAGCCTAATGCTGAGTTTTGTAATGGGCCAAACACCTGCAACTTCTGCTAAAATTGACAGTGCCTCTTATTGCTCAGTCCCTCAGGGATGAGAAAACTGCTTCTCAAAACACTGGTATAAACTAACAAACTTTTGGATTCACTTTTGAAATGCCCTGATTTGTACAATGAAGTCCATGTTTTGCCAGCAGTATCTCTGGAGCTCCAATTTAATTCTTAAAGTCTCAGCTTATGTCTTGATGAGCCACACTGAAAGCAATTAACTGGATCTTGCTGCATGATCAAAGGTGTTCCATGTTAGCCCTCTGCAATCAAAGATGGTTTGAATACCTTAGGACATTTTTGAGTATGTCACTAGGGCAGAGTAGAGGTAGGTAGTAAACAACGTTTTCCAAAGCAACATATTCAATTAAAGTTCTTTAAACAAAATAGAAACAAAACAAGCAGGCGTTTCCATAGTACACAGTACATATATGGCCTTGCATATATTTCAGCAATGAATTTTGTGTCTATGGATTTGTTCCCACATCTGAAACTTTCCCTTAAGGAAACCCTTGTTGATAATTTACAACTTCTAAGGATAACTCTGTAATTGCTTTCCCTTTGCTTCATACCTGTAAATCTTGTATCTTGTGCTAAATCCCTGTCGACTTCTGTCCACAAAATCTGTGTATTCCTGTGAGCGATGGAAGGGTCCCTTATCAGAGAGAAGCCAGTCGAAGGGGCTTGTGGCATGCTGATCGGAAACAGCAGCAACTGCTAAAACCCAGCAATGAAGACTCGGTGCTATCCACTCCCATAGAGCCATCAGAGAGAACAATTCAGCACCAGCACTGCATTGCCATATCATGCTTCCACTGGGGACTTAGAGCCTTCATTCTCTTAGCTTTCCCTCAACACCTAGACAAAATACACAGTCAATTAGATAAGCACACACTAGGCATCCCTTGGAAGAAGAAACAAGTTTCCTTTCTTTCAACTTAAAGAGATAGTGGCCTCTACTTTATTACATTTTACATTAGCATAAACCCCACTAGGCTGGTTAACAGTGGAATGTTTCAGTACTTCAAATGCTGTGAAACTAATGTCTTCATTAACATCATCAGAAATAATATTTACTGTTGAAGGGAAACCTTCACAAATTGTCAGAGGAAGGATTGTTGGGGTTTTTTTCCAATAATGCTAGTCATTAATGAAAAATATGCAACAGAAGAATTACTGCCTGTTAGCATCAGTATAAAGTCATTCAGCAATGTCTATGCGTAAGCTCGCAGTTCAGATATTGGACAGAAAACAGATGAGATTCAGAAGACCCAAATTGCTTTCTTTTTTTTATGTCCTTGGAAAAGTCACTTAATGGCTTATCTTCACTACATAGTTAACAGGCCCACGTTATTCTGTTCAAACTAGTGTAGCTGGACAGTGACTGCATTGATCAACAGAACTGGAGCTACCCACAGTGATGAGTTCAGAGAGTTATTTGAGCTCCAGATGCTGCAATTTTGAGTATCCTTAACAGAAGCACTTCACTTTCAGTCCAATTCACTCCAACCCAATGGATCAGCCCAGAAACACTATTTAAATGGACCCCAAACAATTATTTGGTGCCCAATCAAAAATCGAGTATTAACCATAGCCTCATGCAGGAACTCAGTGAAGACAAGCCACATTTTTTCTATATACCTTAGTCCCATACCTGTGAAAAGGAATAATGATTCTGTATCCTGCTCAGATTTTGTGAAAACATCTATGCAAGAGCATGAACTTCTCAGAAATACTGAAATGACAAAGGTCATGTAGATTCTTATATATATAGAAGCAACTGGTTCTAGTTTCCAGTTTAAGGTGAAACAGCACAGAAACAATTAAAATGGAATAATGTGAGAGCTTTCATTTTTCTAGCTGATGAGTTTACAGGGAAAAACATTTTTTAATTCACATTCACTCAAAACAGCACTCATTATGACAATTTTACAGTGCCCCTTGCTATGAATTTTTTTTTTTACTGGACAGGAAATTTTTCTTTATCATCAGTAATTTAATTTCTAAGTGTACCTTAAATGAAGGATGCTTCCAGTAGAGCAGTTCTGCAACTGAACGATCAGTACCACCCGTCCATTATAATGGAAATGGTGTAGCTGAATAAATATGCTCTGTGCATATATTCAAGACATTAATACTCTGAAGTCTGTTGCATAGATTCTAAACATATCAGCTGCAGGAAGTTAATTGCCTCCAGAAGAGCATAGAAGTTCATGTGAACCAACAAGAATTTACAGTCTGAGAATATTATAATCTGTTTATACAACCAGAGAAATAGTCAAGGTTTATTATCATCTTATGCACAAATGTAATTGTTTGTAACATGATTTGGACCTGATCCTGCAAACAATAGGTGTGTAAGTAAACTCACCGAAAAAAAAGACCCTGTTCATCTATTTCATGCTGAGCATATGCCGAAGCACTGAGTTGTAACCATAAATGGTTACGACCATGCAGTAGTTTATGATCATAAAACACAGGCTGCATTAATTTTATAAATCCTTTTGAAATGAGATTCCAGGAGTCTACAACAAAGAGATCTCTACTTATATTCTCAAGCAATCACTTACATGCAAAAAACCTGCAAATCTATGTATACTGCATGAAGTTTCGGTATCTTCTTCCTATACTGGTGCTTTCTTTCTTTCACAGGTTGAAATTAATGTATGTGAGGTTACACTGTTGAGTAACCTTCATCACATCATATGAAAAAGCATGCACAGATCTGAAGCAAAGCTGAAAAGCAATAGATTGTTCCCCTGGCCCATAAAGGCCATGATGATTATTTGTTGCCATTTCCTGTTAAAAATTAGCTCAGTGTAAATGAAGAAGGCATCAGTCACTTCCAAACAGGCCAGGCCAGCTTTTGCATCACAACCAAGTGAAAATCCACAAATACTTCTGTCTCTCTTCTCCTTAACAATCAGGGAAAATTATATTGAACAGTGTACCCATTCCCCTCCAAGATCTTTTTCATAGACTAGGAAGACTCTGGGCATAATTTCTTGACATTATGTGAATCTTCAAAGAGTATAATGACAATTTTAATTTTTATACCTACTGTTGTTACAAAAATTGCTAGCTAAGACATAAGGTTCTGTTTTTCCTAAATTATCTTTTATATTGAAAAAATCATGTAATGGTTTAAATTACAAGAAGTAGGAGTTTACTTTTTCAGGTACTTATTAATACTGGAGTGTGTCAGGCCATTCAACTGTAATGATGACTAATTGAGTCCCTTTTGAATTCAAAATTATAATATTGGGATTGGAAAACTATTTACTCTGTATATGTAGCATCTTCCTAAAAGAAGACCAAATGAGTACTTGAAAAGGAATAGCGAAGAGCCCTGCTCTGTGTTTGCCTTAATGCTATACCTCCATGGCATGTCATATATTAACCACTGGTAAAATATCTTCAGAGAACCTGTGTAGTTACAGAAGCAAATAGTCTCCTTGTTTTGAAGATATATTAAGGTATTTTCCAAAGGAGTATAAATATACAGCTAGTCCTTAGGGAGAGTAAAACAACGTGTGCATTTCTAACTCATACTTATCCCCTTGTCTGTATTGTGCAGTCATTGTAGAATCAGTCCACATTGCATTAATTCTCATAATACCCTTGAGAAGTAAACTTCTACCTCAATTTAACAAACAAGGAACTGAATCATGAAAAGACCAAGGCTAAGAGTTTTTTTAAGCTGTTACAGGGATTTAAATGTGTATTTCCTATTAAAAGATAATTTAGAAAATGCCAGCCTAAGGAATTTTCCTAAGGTTACAGTGTGAAAAATATCTCAAAATTTTAAACACTCAAATTCTCTAATGAATGCAAATGCCCTAAAAATATTTTTCAGACTGCTATAGTCATGTGGAACATACAAAGGTTGTAATTACAACAGCCATCACAGAACTCCAGGGAGGAACAATGTGAATGAAATTTTTGGTAGAGCACCTGCTGGTTTCAGGGTGGAATGTAAAAACTCAAAAATAACTGAACACCTGTTAAGTAACAGAGCTGGTGGATTTTAAAGTGGAGCAGACACTCTGTAGAGGAGACATCTTCAAACAGAGCTGCCATGTCAACATGCTGCCTCTTTGAAGTGTTAGCTTAGAGGACAATTACAAGGTTTAGATGCCCAGCACAATTACTTTCTGTTATCCCCCGTGTTTCACCCAGCTACCACTTGCAAATGCTAATAAGTTTTCAGTCCTTCCTCTTTTACATTCCGAAGTTAGAGTGAGTTCAAGAAGCAATAATGTGCTAATTTTTAATTTGTTAGAAATTTATTGTCAACCTCCCTGGCATTAATGAAGAATGAATTTGACTCAGCATCTTCTGGAAATACCATAACTAAGTCCTAGCTTTCATGAATATGTAATGTGTGCTGAAGACTGATAAAATCCATGCATTTACATCATCTGAGAATATAGTACTGGCAAGTGCAAAACAAACATTGTGGCCACTGGGGCAAATTTCATCAAACTTCAGATGTGAACAAGAGTGCAGAACATCTGTAATTTTTTGTTGTCATCCCATTGTAGAACAAACACCGCCAAATTCAGTCTTCATTTTTTCAGGCAAATAAATTTTTTAACATTAGAAATGGTATATAATTTAATATAGGTAGTTTATGAATTCACTAAGTTACTGTACCTAAAATAGGACAAATTGAAGTGTCTGCTTGATTTGTAGGTTGATATCTCTTGCTTACTGAACATTAATTGATAAAGCATGTGTGCTAAGATATACAGAATAACGTAGGGCCAGCCCAAATGTATCTACAGCAATGTTTAAGAAAAAGCAAATCAGTAAGTTTAAATCCTTTCTAAAATGGAAGCAGTGTAAAATTTTCTCAAGGAAGAAAAATAAAAATCTGGAGTAACCTCACTTCAAACAACCTTTTTTTTTTCTTAAGAGGTAAAATTCATGTATAAAACAGATGTGCTAATATACAGTAGAGTTATAGCTACTAAATAGATTGCTGCTGGTTCACTAGTGGAGTAACTTTTTATATAAGAGTCAATAAAGTTGATGTTAGGCATCATCAGTAGCTTTTTTGGGCTACATCTACACTTGCAGTTCTCAAGAATAAAAATAAAATAACTGTATATTTAATGTACAGACATTTTAAATAAGATTGGGGCCAGTCAATATTTCTCTCTATTCTGCAAGTCCGGGAGGTGCTGTGGCTTTGGTCTGAGATGCTCTCTCCTGTGTTACACATGGAACAATGTCCTTGCAATCTCCGTCAGCATCACAGAAAAGACCACGGCCCTGCCTCTGTCATTCCCTCTTTCTCTTCGTGTCTCACAAAGATCTCCTGACAGCAGACGTGCCAATGACCAGGATGTCTCTGAAGCCCTTTGGTTTTTACACTCACTAAAATTCCATGAAAATGCTGAAACGTCCCAACTCTCCATGGAAAATATGCTGAAATGGAATTCTCCTGTCTGTAACTTCCCATAATGATGAAATAAAAATTCAGGATTGTTATTCTCAGAAATGTCCTTTCAAAGGAAAGTAATAAGTAATTTATCAGGAAACACTATGTTCATCTCTCTACAAGAGTTAGAAATATTAATGTATTTAAGATGGTGCTTTTTTATGGAAAACACAAAGCCTAGTTTTCTTTGAACTAATTATTAAGTATATACTCATTTAAAAACAAACAAACTAAAAATCCAAGAACAGATATGAGAAATACAACCAATTCTGTTTGTAGATAGTTTTCAGTAAGATGAGAATTTTATCATTTATGAGGTTTTTGGTGCTCCATCCCTCCATTCACTTATGAGCCTTAGGGATTTCAAAGTTACTATTTCTGATGAAGTACGATACTAGGTGTAACAGGGTAC